CCTGCCAGCAGTCCTGGTCTGTTTATCCAGTGGGGATCGGAAAAGTCCCACCGGTCCGGGGGGAGGGGTTAGGAGAACAGTGAAGTCGCTTGAGGGGTCCGGTGTCGGGGAGAGCGGTCGCCTCTCCCTGGCTCCAACTCCAGTAGGCCGCACTTGGCGTTCCACGCACCAAGCTCCGACAGGCTCCAGAGAGGTGTCACTGGATTCAGTGGTGCACCCCCGACATGGGTAGTGCACCCTGGTAAGTCTTTGGGCTATGAAGCCGCCGATTTCACCCCAATTTCTGTCTGCCAGGCAGGAGCTCATATTACCCACGTCTGCACAGCTAGGTGGTCATTATTGGTCCTTAGAGTAGTTGGGTTTAGTGCAAGAATCTCCAAAAGGAGAGAAATAGAGAAAAGGCAAACCAAAAACTAACCAAGATGGAGGATACATGTATACACAAAATTAAAAACTAGCTAGGTTGAACAATAGAATACAGAATAACCATAAAAAACACAAGTCTTAAATTAAAAAACAAAAAAAAACAAAGGATGTTTATAACATGTTAAAGGGACACTACAGCTTATTGTATTTGTTCTAGTGAGTCTAATCATTCCATGCAGGCTTTTTGCAGTGAACACTGTCCTTTCAGAAAAAGGCAGTGTTTACATTATGTCCTAGGGATACCTCCACTGGCACTTATCAGGTGGCAACTTGAGGTGCTTGCGGGGTTGTGCTGCACAATAGTGTACAGCACTGCCATTCAGCGTCTTCATGCAGAGTTGAATTTTCATCATAGAGATGCATTGATTCAATGCATATTTATGAGGAGCTACTGATTGGATTTGGCCCTGCCCCCATCCCACCTCCTTGCCGACTTCAGCCAATCCAATGCTTTCCCTAGAGAAAGCATTGGATTGGCTTAAAATCCTAAATTCTGATGATGTCACTAAAGAGATGGATTGGGGGCGGGAACAGCCCCAGCAGACCCACGCGGCACTAAAAATAAGGTACATTTTAACCCCTTATAAGGAGGCTAAGGAGGGGCAAGCCACCTATATGGTGATTTTAACACTATAAGGTGTTATAGGAACACATGTTTGAGTTCCTGGCCCTATAGTGTTCATTTAAAGGGTACCAAAGACCATGATAATGTATCTTATTTGGAAGAGAATGTCTTAAATAGGTGAATATCTCATCATCCAGCATCAAAATACCAGAATGTGTAAGTGTATTGTTATTGAACTGAGGCCCATAGCAGTAAGGGCAGAAAGTTGAGCAAACATAACTAAATGGCGCAGTGTTGGAGTGTCTTGTGTAATAGAGGATGCCAGGCAAATAGGATGTCAGCCAGCTGGTCTGGAGACTTGCATCAATCTAGCAGGTATTGTGACACTCAGGAGCACTTGCACTTGCAATAATGAGTTCAGGTCATGTCTTAATATACCATCCTTTCTGAATACATTATATTCTACTGAAAATTTCAATGAGAAATTACATATACACTGTATTTTAATATACTTTTATTTTCTTCATATGAGTCCTTCCATTGTATATATGCTAGACTTGTGCAAAGTTTTGATGTGGCAGTTTGAATGTCCAAATAGTATCCATGCAAATGGTTCTGGAAAACCCATTAGATGAACAAGCAGGGCAAAAATTTGCCTTTTTTTTGTACTGCAAAATACACGGGGCCACTATCTGGGTGGTACAGACAGTACCCTTGTAAGGGGCCTATTCCAGTTCAGGGGCCAGCATGGGACTCTTATTGCACTTATTGATCTGGCAGGGGAGATAGCTATCTCTCTCTCTCTCTCTCTCTCTCTCTCTCTCTCTAGCTATATTAATTAATCTAATTCCAGGTGGAATTTGGTCAACCAATTGTGAAATAAAAGTGTTTTATCATTCAAATTCTGTCCATAGTTATGATTTTGAATGTTCAACTACTTTTGAATAATCTGTATTTTAGGTGTTTGGTCTGGCTGATCTCTGATTTATGTTGTATTCATTTACTTATCTCTTCCTTTATTTATTTGATTTAGTATCTGTCCCCTAACCATCAATCCTTTCTTTTTTGGCACCACAGACAGGAAACAGAATCACAACGCAAAGGAACCTATGTGACAGGTTCATGTGGTGCTTTGGAGTTACGAAATTTGAATAATTCGTCAATCGTCCAAAATGTAAATAATTACAATTTGTTTAAAACTAAATTCACAAATCCAGTATATATATATATATTTATTTATTTATTAATTTTTTTTTTTTTTTACTGAAATCATTAGTACCCTAGCAGCCTAAAGGATACATTTCATCCATATAGATTTAACAATGGAGGCTTTTTTCGCACATTTTCTTTTTTGTGCATTTTATATCACTTTGCACAATTGTGTGTTGTCTCAATTTTATTAATTTGCCTAGATAACTAAAGCAAGTATAATGCAAGCAGGTCATGCAAGTTGATCATTATTAACTCATGTAAATACATACTGCCAACTATTTTTTACAACACTGTTCACCTTTCCCAATATATAAATAGTGTGTACTATTGTAATGATGAGCATGATACCTACTATTTTGAAACATACAATCTCAACCTATATTAATATGTATTTTACGAACAGAAGTAGCTGCTCCCAACCCTATTCTCCAGGTACACCAGCAGTCCTATGGGTATACTGACAAAATGTTGACTGGTTGGGAATCTCTGCCCTACAGTACTCTTTTCTTTATTATAAAAGAATTCTTAGAAGATTCCAATTACATACAAACATAGAAATGTCAGAATATACTAAATGTTGTTTAAGTGAACTTAACATTTTGGGTTTGGTTTACAGTTACAATTACAGTCCTTGTCTTTCTGTACGTACATGTTACTTTTTATACTTCACATCTGACATAGTTTGCTTTAAACTATATTATTTAACTGCATTATGTCCATGAAATAATCACATCAATAATTAACACAATCTTGACACAGTATACATAAAATGTAAACTTATATCAATGCAAGGCTACAACACATTTATTATGCATAAACATATTTTATTAGCTCAGCAGTGTACCACGATAGTTTCTCAGCTGTTAATTTATTGCTTTGTATTGATTTTAAATTGAAATAATTATACATACCCTGTGAAGTATTCAATTACTTTTTTCCAGTAGATCCAAAGAGCAGAATATGTATTGACTAGTCTCGTTCATTATACATGACATGATATTCAAATAAAATTTCCTTGCATTTGTAAAAATATACAATATAATTGTTTCAATGTGTACATCTAGGGCATAAATACAATTTACATATTTATATGTACTTGGGAAATTTTAAAGTATTTTCATATAAATAGGGATGACCCTTAGCCAGTGCAATAATATTGTAATGACTACCTTGTTATCGATTAAACAAAATAGTTATCATTTTTGAGTTAGCCTTTTTTTGTTTCATTACTATCTTATGCAATACGATCTAAAATATTACTGCATTAGGAAATGTTGCTTTTCTTTTAAAAAAAAAATTTTTTAAACTTTTTAAGAACAAACAAAACACGTTAACATTTTCTTAAATCTTACATATATAAAGAATTTCCAAATAGCAGCTTGTGATTTTTTTTTTTAAATACGACTTATCTCTTATTCCGTCTGAGTTGTTCGCATCTATTATCTATTATCTACTGGCGCTTTAAAAGTTGTGAAGTGGAGGGAGTGCTACATGCGACCCTAAGAACTTTTTATTTATATTCCACATATATTCCCCATTGATAGTTTTGTCCTATGGTAATTCTTCCTCTCATAAAAATCAAGGTCCGCAGGCCTCCTCAGTGTCTCTACTGGGGAGGTATCAGGTTTATATGTAAGGGTTAGATTCGCTGGTCTATGGACAGACTGCCACCTAAAGCTGTGTTGTGCATCAGTAGGATCAGTGGGCTCAGTTGTGGAGCTATGTATGAGTCTTTTCTCAACGTGACCCATGTCTTAAGCGTCTCGCAATAGGGGAGATTTTACTTAGGTGTTTTGTCATTCCTGATAGTTGATGTCATATGTATGTGTTGAGGGTTTTATTTGTGCATTCTCTGTCTAGAGACACTCACAGTCTGCCAGTCTCGTATACACTGGAGTATGGTTGCGTGGAAATATTTGCGAAAGTCTGGTAGTGCCAGTCCGCCCCATGATTTGGGCAGGCATATTTTGTCACGGCTAAGGAACACTCGGTCCCCTCTACAAATGTATTTACTGATCGCCGTTTTTAGTGTTGTGAAGAAGTCCGGTGGTATGTGCCAGGGAATGGTTTTGAAGTAGCATAGAAGCCTTGGTAGGATGTTCATTTTAACCACCGCTATATGGCCTTGCCAAGAGATGCATGTGTGGTTCCATGATTTAAGATCTGTTAGAATTTAGTTGAGGAGTGGTGTGTATTTCCAGGAGTATAGGTTGTTCGGGTTGTGGGGGATCCAGATTCCCAAGTACCTCATCTGATCGCTGCAACAATGGAAGGGTGCTGTATGATTTTCTCGCTCTGCTGTCGGGGTCATGATGTGCAGGATTTCGCACTTCGTCTGGTTTAACCTGAGCCCCAAAATCTGGCCGTATGCCTCGAACTCCGCCATTAATGCGGGCAGGGTGTGTGAGGGGTTGTCAATGAAAAAGAGCATGTCAGCCACGTACACTGCTAACTTATGTTCCTGTTCTTTATATTTGAACCCCTGGACTGCAGGCGTTTGTCAGATTCTGGCTAAGAATGGCTCCAGTGTTAGGGCAAAAAGGAGGGAGGACAAAGGGCATCCCTGCCTGGTGCCATTGCGAAGGTGAAGCTCACCGAAAGTGCCTCGTTGACGCGGACCTGGGTGTTCAGGGTTGGTTTATAATGTTTCGATCAATGTGATCATCTCCTACCCCAGTCCTACATTGGCGAGCTTTGCCATCATGAATTGCTACTTCACACGGTTGAATGCCTTTTCTGCATCTGTGGAGAGCAAGAGTATGTTCTTTTTCTCCCTCATTCCTAGATGTTGAATGGTGAATGCCCTCAGGGTGCAGGCCCTGGCTTCGCGGCCCGGTATGAAGCCTCTCTGGCCGGCGTAGACCAGTCTGGGCATTTACAATTGTAGTCTGGTTGCAAGGATCTTAGAAAAGAGCTTCACATGTTAAGAAGAAAGATAGGGCGATAGTTTCCACAGTTTTCTGGGTTTTTGCCTGGCTTGGGTATTGCTGTGATTGTGGCTGCTAATGTCTCTGGGTGGAACTTGTCTCCGTTCTGCAGTTGGTTTAAGGCGGGGTGAGCCGTGGGACCAAGATGTCACCAAATTTCTTGTAGCACCCTGCCGGAAAACCATCCGGGCTGGGTACTTTGCTGTTTTTTGCTGCTCGGACTTCATCTTCGGTGATCTGGGAGTCTAGTGCGCCGGCTTCTTCTGGCGTGAGTGCGTTGGGCCAAAATCCTTGCAGGTATTGTTCTATGGCCCTGGTTGTTATGTCTTGGTGGGTCCTTGCACGTTCGTTGTGTAAAGCTGCAAATCGAGGTAACACGTAAATTATTGGAGATTTTAATTACCCAGACATAAATTGGGATAGAGGGACTAGTACTTCAGCAAGGGGAATCAGGTTTTTGAATGTGTTAAATGACACCTTTATGTCACAACTGGTACAAGCACCAACTAGAAAGGATGTCTGGATCTCGTCATAACAAACAATGTTGATCTTTTAACCAACATTCAAGTAGACCATTTGGGAAATGGTGATCACAATATGGTAAATTTTGAAATAAACGTAAAAAAGCAAAAGCAAGTGGGGTATACTAAAACATATAATTTAAAAAAAGCCAATTTCAATAAGATTAGGGCAGCTCTACAACATATCGACTGGCATAATTTCCTTAGTGATAAAAACACTGAGGATAAATGGAAACTATTCAAACAAATATTAGAAAGGTACATTTCTCAGTATGTACCATTGGGTAATAAATATAAAAGAAAGAAATTAAAACCAATGTGGCTTAGTAGAGAAGTAAAATAAGAGATTAAAACTAAGAAAAGGGCATTTAAAGCATTTAAATCAGAAAAATCAGAGGCATCCTATTTAAGATTTAAGGAAGCCAATAACGCTTGCAAAAAGGCAATTAAAGTGGCTAAACTAGAAAATGAGAAATTGATAGCTAAAGAATGCAAAACCAACCCCCAAATTTTTTTCAAGTACATCAATTCTAAAAAAAAACAAAAAATGAAAGTGTGGGTACACTGGAAACAGAGTTGGGTTTATTAGCTAATGAAGACCAGGAAAAAGCTGAAATTTTAAATAACTATTTTTCTTCAGTATATATTAATGAGGATCCTATGGCAAGAGATATGCAAATGATTGCTGCAAAAAACTTGCAAATAACTTGTGATTGGATAACTCGAGACAAGGTGCTACAGCTATTAAAGAAAATTAATGTAAATAAAGCTCCGGGGCCTGAAGGTATTCACCCACGAGTATTTAAGGAGCTAGGTGGGGAAATAAGTGAACCTCTGTATTTAATTTTTCAAGATTCTTTTGTTTCAGGTGTTGTACCGGAGGATTGGAGGAAGGCAGATATTGTTCCTATATTTAAAAAGAGTTCAAAATCATTGCCTGGAAATTATAGACCTGTGAGCTTAACTTCTGTAACTGGGAAAATATTTGAAGGGCTAGTAAGTGTCAGGGTCTTACCTGGGTTGGGAGTCTGTAGCGCAGATATGTTGCTCACCCTTGCAGATAGCCACAGGCCAAGGTGGTCAGGTAAGAATTCACCCGGCCTGTGGGCCTGTGCACGGGGGCTGTGCAGGATGAAGTACCAAGTCGCAGAACAGGCAAGGACTCAAACAGCAGGATCGTCAAACGATAGCCCTGGTCAAAGGATGCCAGAAGACAGGAACAACGAGGAGTAGCCGAAGTCAAGGGATGCCAGAGTAAACATAGTCAGAAGCCGGGGTCAAAAACAAGTAGCAGCTCAAACAACAGGAACACTGGTACAAAGCACACAACAGGATCAAAGACTTGATGCTGATCACAGGGCGAGGCTGAGTTTAAATACCCTGCTAATGTCTGGTCAGGGTCAGGTAAAGCACATCCAAAGTCAAGGTACAGCCCCCAGAGTAATAGACATGCCAGGATGAACAGGACCAGAATGACATGTGGAATACAAAAGCTGCTGTGGCTCAGAGGAAGGAAGCAGGACCAGGACTGCAAAGTTCCCCGGTTCAAGTCCCTTGTTAGGAACTCCATGGGTGACCACGTCTGGCCGTCTGTTTGCTGCGGCGAGAGTAAGGGATAATATTCAGGAATTCATTGGGAAGAACTTTGTTATTAGCAATAATCAGCATGGTTTTATGAAACATAGGTCATGTCAAACTAACTTAATTTCAGTAAGTAGAAGTATAGATCAGGGTATTACAGTGGATGTGATCTACTTGGATTTTGCCAAGGCATTTGATACGTTTCCTCACAATAGTTTAGTCTTCAAACTAAAAGAAATTGGTCTAGATTAATATTCTTGTTCTTGGGTATAACATTGGCTTAAGGATAGAGTACAAAAAGTTGTAATTAATGGTAAATTTTCAGGCTGGACAAAAGTGGTAAGTGGTGTCCCTCAGGGTTCTGTTTTGGGACTACTTCTATTTAACATATTTATAAATGATCTTGAAATAGGCATTGGAAACCATGTATCAGTGTTTGCAGATGACACAAAACTTTGTAAAGTAATAAAATGTGAGCAGGATATTGCTTTGCTGCAGAGGGATTTGGATAGATTGGGGGACTGGGCACTAAAATGGCAAATTAAATTTAACATAGAGAAATGCAAAGTTATGCACTTCGGGGTTAAGAATGCACAAGCAACTTACACACTAAATGGTAGTGAATTAGGGATAACCACACACGAGAAGGATTTGGGAATTGTTATAGACAGCAAATCAGGCAGAAATATGCAATGTCAATCTGCAGTTGCTAAGGCCAGTAAGGTTTTGTCATGTATAAATAGGGGCATGAATTCTCGAGATGAAAATATAATTTTGCCTCTCTATAAATCGCTGGTAAGACCACACCTTGAATATGCTGTGCAATTTTGGGCGCCTGTTCTAAAGAAAGATATCATGGCACTAGAAAAAGTCCAGAGACGAGCTACAAAATTGATATAAGGAATGGAGCATTTTAGTTTAAGAAAGGTTAAAAAAATTAAATCTGTTTAGTTTGGAAAAACGGCGCCTGAGAGGGGATATGATAACTTTATACAAATATATTCAGGGCCAGTACAAACCTTTATCTGGAAATCTATTCATAAACAGGACATAGGACACGAGGTCACACATTTAGGCTTGAAGAAAGGAGATTTAGTCTCAGGCAAAGAAAAGGTTTTTTTACAGTAAGAGCAATAAGGATATGGAATTCTCTGCCTGAAGAGGTGGTTTTGTCAGAGTCACTACAGATGTTTAAACTGAAATTGGATAAATACTTACAAAAACATAACATACAGGGATATAATTTCTAATTAGTGGGGTAATAGCTGCTTGATCCAAGGAGACATTTGACTGCTATTTTGGGGTCAAGAAGGACTTTTTTCCTAGTTTGTGGCAAAATTGGAAGCGCTTCAGATTAAGTTTTTTTCTTTCTTTTGGATCAACAGCAACAACATTTGTGAGGAAGGCTGAACTTGATGGACGCAAGTCTCTTTTCAGCTATGTAACTATGTAACTATAGGGATACACCATGGGGTGTGGCCAGGGCCGGACTAGGAAAACAAAATTGGCCTGGTCATTTTTTAATCAAAGCCACCAAGTGAGAAGGGGTCAGGGCCAGAGTGGGTGGTGGTGTAAACTCGCAAACAGTGTAGTAAGTTACATTATACAGAAGTAAAATACATATTACTAGGCCTTAGAGTGGCTTGACTTAATGTATAAAAATACAGTGTAAAGGGTAGACAATCAGTAAAAATTCAGAAACAGGCCTAGGTCAGGGCTGGAGACAGGTGGATAACAAGATAAAAAGTCAAAGGGTCAGCGATACCAGAATACAGGATAATTGATAATACAAAGCCAAGTCAGAATAGCAAAAATACCAATGATACAGAATGCATCCTCGGTCTATAGAGACCATGACAGGGCAAGAAAGTGATGTCAGGTATAACTAGGCATATGTGTGGTGATTTGTTAGGGAACTAATTATTTCAATCAAGGTCAATAAATATAAGTATTTTCATCCCATATGTAATTTGGAATTCTATAACTTTAAATATTTGAAATAGGGAGACATAGCATCATATCAACATACATGGCCAGTAGCGCGTGAGTGCGTGTCAGCATGTGCACAAGGCATCAGCCGAAAGTCGGGACATGTCATTGGAGGAGAACCGGCGTTGGCTAAGGCAGGAGGATCGGATCAACACAGGCAGAGATGAGGTATGACACTCTTAAAGTGAGCATGTTGGCATAATGCTTCTCCAGGGCAGAGCAAATTTAATGATATGCTTGCGCTGTCATTGCTTATGACTTGTCCATTGTGGCATACCAGAGGACAAAAGGAAAACATACATGCATGTGTTTGTAGGCTGCTTGTGGGATTGCTTGTGTGCAGTGAGCTGATTGTGGTGTGGTGGTGTGTTACATGCAAATATGTCGGTGTCAGTTATGTTGTGCTTGTGGTGTAAAATGTTTACTGTGGTGTAAAATGTGTGGTGTAGATTGTGTATAAGGGAATGTAGTCTGTTAGGGAATCTAGTGTGTGTGTTTTTGTACAGGAAATCTAGTGCATAGGGAATCCAGAGTGTGTATGTCAGAACTGTAGTGTGTGAAGAGGATTCAAAGTGTAAATAGATCCCCTATATCTAGGATCTAATGTGTGTTTGGAATCCTGAGTAGTGTGTGTGTCTGGAATGCAGTGTGTGTAAGTTGTGCAGTGTCTGTATAAGTGATGTAGTGTGTGTGTGGTAGAGTTTGTGTATAATGGATTTAGTGTCTATAGAGGATCTAGTGTGAGAGGTGTAATGTGTGTGAGGGGTGCAATGTGCGTGTGAGGGGTGCAATGTGTGTGTGAGGGGAGCATTGTGCATGTGTGAAGGGCGCAGTGTGTGTGATCAGTGCAGTGCAGTGCGTGTGAGGGGTGCAGTATGTGCGTGTGATGGGTGTAGTGTATGTGAGGGCTGCAGGTGTATGTGTGTTGGGAGGTACTGTGTGTGTGGGGGTGGAAGCAGATGGGAGCTAAGCAGTTATATATATTA